CCTACCAAGCATGACATCCTTCTCCAGGGAATGGTCCCTTCTTACAACATGACCAAAATAGGTGAGACGAAGTCTGGCCATTCTTGCTTCCAAGGAGCATTCTGGCTGCACTTCCTCCAGGACAGATCTGTTAGTTCTTTTAGCAGTCCACGGTACTTTAAGCATTCTTCGCCAGCACCACAACTCAAAAGCATCAACTCTTCTTCGGTCTTCCCTATTCATTGTCCAGCTCTCACATGCATACCAGGCGATTGGAAATATCATGGCTTGTGTCAGGCGCACCTTAGTCCTCAAGGAGATATCCTTGCTCCTCAGCACTTGAAACAGTTCCTTCGCAGTTGACTTCCCCAATGCTACACGTCGTCTAATGTCCTGACTGCTGCTTCCGTTGGCATCGATTGTAGAACCAAGCAACATGAATTCCTTGAAACCTCAATCTTCTCTCCATTTATTTTGATGCTGCTCATTGGTCCAGTTGTGAGGATTTTTGTTTTCTTTATGTTGAGATGTAATCCATACTGCAGACTGTATTCTTCAACCTTCATCAGTAGGTGCCTTAAGTCATCCTCACTTTCAGCAAGCAAAGTTGTATCGTCTGCATATCTCAGGTTGTTAATGATTCTTCCTCCAATCCTGATACCACGTTTTTCTTCATATAGTCCAGCTTCTCGGATTATTTGCTCAGCATATAGATTGAATAAGTGTGGAGAAAGAATACAACCCTGATGCACTCCCTTCTTGATTTTAAACCATGTAGTGTCCCCTTGTTCTGTTCGAACGACAGCCTCCCGGTCAAGGTACAGATTCCTCATGAGTACAATCAAGTGCTCAGGGATTCCCATTCTTCTCAATGTTATCCATAATTTGTCATGATCCACACAATCAAATGCCTTTGCATAGTCAATAAAACACAAGTAAACATCTTTCTGGTATTCTTTGCCTTGAGCCAAGATCCATCTGACAACAGCTATGATATCCCTTGTTCCACGTCCTCTTCTGAATCCGGCTTGAACCTCTGGAAGTTCTCTATCAATATACTGCTGCAAACGTTTCTGAATTATCTTCAGTAAGATCTTACTTGCATGTGATATTAATGATATTGTTCTATAATTTCTACATTCTGTGGGATCACCTTTCTTTGGAATGGGCACAAATATGGATCTCTTCCAGTCAGTTGGCCAGGTAGCTATCCTCCAAATCTCTTGGCATAACTGAGTGAGCGCCTCCAATGGGGCATCTGTTTGTTGAAATATCTCAATCGGTATGCCATCAATTCCCAGAGCCTTGTTCTTCGCCAGTTCTTTCATTGCAGCTTTGACTTCTTCCTTCATTACCATTGGTTCTAGATCATATGCCACTTCTTGAAATGGATGGTGGGCTACTTACTTTCTCCATTTACCTCTGTATTCCCTATATGTTGTGGTTATGTGCTGTCAAGTCAGACCCGACTCATAGCGACCACTCCTTGGGTTTCCGAGGCAGTATCACTACGGAAGTAGATTGCCCCATCTTTCTTCCGAGGAGTGGCTGGTGGGTTTGAACCGCCAGCCTTCTGGTTAGCAGTCAAGTGCCTTAGCCACTACGCTACCAGAACTCCCGTATTCCCCACATAGTGCTTCCTTAATCACCCAAATAAACTACTCACATTCAAATCACTGTCTCAGGATCTGCTTCTAGGGGAACTAAAACATCATCCTTCAAGGTCCTGCTCAACTCCTTTCTGCAGTTTCCCTTGACCATCTCTCCCTTGTACTCACTCTGCGGCAGAACTGTTGGTTATTCTTCTGTTCTTGGGGCCCTCGACAGTATGCCACATGTTGCACTGTGGTTTATGCTGTGTGCACGTCATGGAGCCCCACTAGTCCAGGGAATCATTGGGGACAGATGCCATGTGTTTTTTTGTTTCTTTATTGTCTGAGTCTAGTGACAGTACCTAGCACAGAGGAGGTGCCCAATAATCAAAACAAAGCGAAACAAAAAACTACTGTCCAGTCAGTTCCGACTCATGGCTACCCCTCCTTCGGTTTCTGAGGAGGTATCTCTAGGAGAGTAGATTGCCCAATCTTCCTTCCCAGGAGTGGCTGGTGGGTTTGAACCGCCACCCTTCTGGTTAGCAGTCAAATGCCTTAGGCACTACGCCACCAGGTCTCCAGTAATAATAATAGTTATTATTTTTTGCCAAAGAGCTAGCAGTGGGAATAGAACAATAGAGAAAATAGAGAGAAACAGACAAGTGCCTGCATTTTTCTAGAAAGAGACCCTTGGGCTATTATTCCAGATGCTGTCACATTACAAAGTTGTATAGTGGAACTTCAACCTCATGACTCACTTGTTCAACAACCTTGCAATGGTTCCCTATTGTTGCCCTCTAACAATAGGGCTTCATTTGGTTGATGGCATTTAAGACCCTCCATTATCTGATCCCATCCTAAGAGACAGTGAAGCCTCTTGTTTGAGACAGTTCCAGCTGGGTGATCATGGGCAAGTTACTTAGCCTCTCTGGGCACCAGTTTCCTTATTTATTAAATGTGGATAATACTGCTTCCCTCCTGTACTTATTTTGAGAATAAAAAAATCACACATTGTCTTTATGAATATACCAAAAGCCACTGGATTATACAATTCAAAATAGTTTATTTTATGGTATGTGACTGATCTCAATTAAAAAAAAAAAAAGTCTAGCCCGCTGTCTGGCCCAAGATAAACACTTTGATAATAAAACGATCCTGGTGGCACAACAGTTAAGGAGGTGCTTGGCTGCTAACCCAAAAGTTGGTGGTTGGAACTCATGCAGCAGCTGGTGGCTGTGCACGAGAAAGGCATGGGAATCGGGTCCCCTAAAGATTACAGCCTAGAAACCCTATGACATTGTACTACTGTGTCACATGAAGTCGATGAGAGTCAAAAGGGACTCTCAGGTACTTAATACCAACAACAATCATGGTTATCAACCAAGTTTCCCCAGTAGCTTTAGCACCAACCAGGCCAAGCACACAGCAGTTGCTCAGTAAATAGTGGAGGTATGAATGGATAATGTCCTTAACAAATAGTATTGAGTATTGTCCACACAGGCATGTGGAGTGTGTGTGTATCTGTGTGTAGAGATTCAAACCCAATTTTGCACCCCTCAGGAAAGAGGCCAGAATTATTCTCTGTAGAGGGTGAGCCTCAAGACCATGAGAGGGGCCTCCAGACCCAGCCGCACCCCGCTGCTCTGGGTGGGCATCCTCTGCTTGATGGTGTCTGTCCCAGGTGGCAGTACCCAGTATGGCTGCGGGCCAAGAGGAAACGGAAAACACTTGTCCCAGGCGGAGGAATGTGTTTTTATGTTTAACTCTGACTGTATCTGATGTTCTGGGAATTGACTTCAAACAGAATCTTAACGCGCCGTGAAAGCCCCACTGCCAAAGGCAAGGGCTAGAGGGCGCGGCTTTTCCCCGCCCAGCCTCAGGCTCTGGGCCTCCCCATCCCCTCCCCCAGCCCAGAGGCGCGTCTGGCTCCCCGGCGCCAGGCGGTGGGCGCGGAAGGGAAGCTCCTTCTCAGCAAAGCTTAGACTGAGGCTGAGGAGGGGCTGCGGCAGTCTTAGGGAGACACCTTAGCTCTGTGACCCCAGGGCCTGGAGGGCGAAGCTGGGCGGAGTGGGGAGGGGGTCGTGAGGGTCCTGGCTGGGAGGAGAACTGCCTGAGAGGTGCTTCCACCACCCCTCCCCCCAGGGCAGGGCCCAGGGGCGCACACAGCAGGCGCCTACACGGTGCTGGTTGTGTTGAAGCCCCGGGAGCTCCGGCCGCCCTCCCAGTCCTGTGGCTAAACCTTCTAGACCCTGGGACTGGCTCAGCCGTGTGGTCATTACCAGCTGGTAATGGGGAGGGCGCTGACGCGTGTCTTAGGTGGCTGACTCCGCGTGGTCCCGGCCGGCCGGCGTTAGGAGAGGCTGAATGGAGACGCGCCCATGCCTCAACCTTGCCTGAGCCAAAAGGCCCTCACTGGGAAACCGAGGCGGCCCCTCCTGGCACTGGGGTTGCCGCTACAGCTTCCTCAGGAGGAGCTATGGAGTCTGTTTCTAGATTGAGACCCACCCTGTGGTGGGGCGCACACTCAGCTCATATTTTCCCCTCCTAAGCCCCTGGAAGATCGCTTTTGAACATGTCCCTCCCCACCCCTGCCCTGTATAGACTCCTCAAAAAGGCGCCTCTCGGTTCACACATCTCCCTACCTCCCCTGCGAGGAGACCCCTAACAGAAGGTGGGAACCCGCGTAGACGAAGATGCGTGGAGTTGGGACCATCTCTAGATGACACCCCTCACCCCAGGCCCCGGCATCTGGAGCTGCATCCCCACGCCTGCCACGCGCGCGCACACACATACACACACTCAGACTCACGCTCACACAGTCACACTCACACCCGCGCGCAGACCCCGCCCGCGGCCCCGCCCCGGCCCCTGCAGGCGCCCCCTCCAGCGCTCGCGGACCCCGCAAGCAGCTCGCCCCGGGTGATAGGAGGCGGCGGCTTGGGCACCCGGGAGCCGGAGCTCGAGCCGGGGAGGTGGCGCTCGCAGCCGCGTCCCCAGCCCCGCCACCGCCTGCGCTGAGACCCAGCGAGAGGCGGCGCAGCCCGGGCGCTCTAGGCTCCGCACTGCCCGCGCCGGGCCACCTCCGCCTCCCTCGCCCCATCCGGCGCCTCTATCCCTACGCCCCTCGCCCGGTCTCCTGCACTCCCCCTTTCCCTGCTCCCCGCTGCGCGCCCCTCTCTCCGCGCGCCTCTCTCTCTGCCCCTCTCCGCCTCTCCCGGCTGAACCCTAGCCCCCTGGACACCTCGCCCCTCTCTGCTGGGCCCCCAGCCTCCTGGGCTTGCGGCCTGCGCCCCCTCCTCTCTCCGCGGCCCCTGTTCTTTCCGCCCCCCTCCCTCTCACTTCTCACGCCCCCTCTCCGCGCTCGTCTCTCCTCCTTTGGTTGCCCATCCCTGACTACGGAGTTGGGGGAGAGCCCGGGGCTCTAGTGGCTCCGGAGGAGGCGCGAATCGCGCGGGGTTGACTAATTTGGGGGTGGGGGGGCACAGTGTGATGGAGCAGCCCGACGACATGGCGTCGCTGAGCGAGTTCGACTCCTTGGCGGGCAGCATCCCGGCCACCAAGGTGGAGATCACCGTATCCTGCAGGTGAGCCGCCCGCTGGCCGGGTCCCCTCCCTCGGTCCCGCCCCTGGATCCGGAGCCCTTATCCCCAGTCACCCCAACCCTCTGCCTCCGCGAGCTCCTTGCCCACCCGGACGCCCACCTGCAGATCCCTCAACAGCCTTGCCCAACAGCGGGTGGCGACTACGGAGAAGGGAAGCTAGGCTTAGGGTCGCATCCCGGAAAGTTTGCACTCGCGGCTGTTGCGGCGATGAGATAGGGAGACACAGAAACAAGCAAGGGTCCAGGCGTCCGAGTGGAGAGACAGAGGTGGCGAAAGGCTCTTCCAGGGTCTCCCCGCAAGCCTCTGCCTCTGATCAACCCTCCCCAAATCGAGGGGTGATTTGCTCCTGTCCCTTCCAGGCGTGCCCACCCTTTCCCTTTTGTGCTGTCCTGTTCTCTCTCTTTACTCCTTTGCCCCAGCACCCTCCGTCTCCCCTCCCCACCTACCCATCCTCCTAGACCCCAGAATTCTAAAATATTCTTTCACCTCCAACAGCAACAAAATCGACACCTGCAAAATGATCAGATCTACTCACTCATACTGGGGTGTGCATAACTGATAACCTAAAGTGGCTTTAAAAAGAAAAAAAACCAACAACAAAAAACTTGAGTCCAGAAGCTTAAGCCAAAGGAATAAAACCCTGATTGTGGAACTTTAGCGTCCAATAGAGGAAGGGGTGGAGTATATTTATGGGCTATCAATCTCAAATCCTCAGTCACAACAGACAAGCTTTGGGGGGTAAGTGAGGGAAGGCTGCCCCAGGCAGTAGGGAGGTATTGGTGGAGAAGGAAGGATCATTTCCCTAGTGTAGTCACCCTGTGGCTGACCTGGAGTCACTGTGGGAGCCAGGCTGGTGTTGTGAGGGGCATGGATGGTGGCCTAGGCATAGCCCACCTGGAGGTTTCCCCAGGAGATGCCATTTCACCTGCCCCTAATGGCCAGCAGCATTCCCGGAGCCCTGGCTGTGCCCTGTGTTCTGAATCACCCATCCGGTTCTCTTCCAGGCCACTCTCTTTGGTCAGACACTTCATCCACTCTTGTGTCTCCCACATTATCTTTCAAAGTTGTGGCACTGGGGATGTGTGGGTAGATCCAGAGGGGCTGGGCTGGGGCATGAGAGAGAGAGGGACTCAGGAGGGTGAATGTGGCTGGGAGGCGTGAAGTCAGACATAGCTGCCTCCCTGAGCCAGGCTCTTTGGGGGGCTCCGATGACAGCTCGCTCCCACATACCTTCCCCATGGGTCTCACATAAAGAACTGTCAGAATCATCTCCCAACACCATTTGTATCTTGCCATTACTGTTCTGGGAGACTCCTGATGGACCATTAGCTGCAGTCTCACCTCCTCAGCCATCAACAGCTGTCACAGCCTGCCTTCTCTTCTGAGGCTCCCTCCCAGGCTTCAGTCGTGCCTGTTGTCTCATTCCGGTTTGACCCCTTGCTGGATTTGCATTTCCACCCCAGAGATACTGAATCAGAATCCACATTTTAATAAGATCCCCAGGATTATTATAGATCCCCAGGTGGTTCTTATTAAAATGTAGATTCTGATGCAATGTATCTGGGGTGGAAATGCAAATTATCAGCAGGAGGTCGAGCCTGAATGAACCAGTTTGAAGCCCTGCTTCAGATCAGAGTTGTCTCCAGATCCATCCCACTTCTGAACCTCTGAACAGCCCATTTCCCATGGAGATTTCACTCCTTCATCTCTGCCAGTTCGTCCTCCACGTTGAGAAGCCTGCCTTGTGTTCACCTACCTCCAGGCATCCTTCTCACCTATGGGACACACACCCCAAATTACTGTCTTCCATGTCCCCTGAGCCCATGGGATCACTCACAAACTGAGAACTAAACCCCTTAAGACATCTCAGGTACGTAGATTTCATTCCTCCTCCTTCAAGGCAATTGTGTGTTTGAGGATAGGGGTTGCCACCTGACTCAGACCCAGTGAGAGGAGAGGAGACAGAGGATAGATGGCATTGTGGCTTTGAAGTCAGACATCTTGGAATGGAATCTCTGTTCCACCACTTGGGGCACACTTTGAGCCTCAGTTTCCCCCATTTGTCACATTGTATAATGATGAACAACTTGTACTCATTGAGCAGCCTTGTTTACTGAGGTAGCTCACGTGTTTAAAGCACATAGTAGGGGCTCAACAAATACTCTTGGAAAAATTAGGTTGCAGGATTAGAGGATTTTGATGCAGATGGCACATGACTTTGTACTTGCTTGGCACACAGAAGGTGCTAAATTAGTTGGAATTGACTTGATGGCAGTGGGTTTGGTTTTAGTTTATGAGTACCATAAGAAGCCCTGGTGGTGCAGTAGTTAAGTGCTTGGCTGCTAACTTGCTTGGTGGTTTGAATTCACCAGCCACTCTGCAGGAGAAAGGTATGTAGCAGTCTGCTTCTGTAAAGATTTGCAGCCTTGAAAACCCTACGGGACAGTTCTGCTCTGCCCTATAAGGTTGCTATGAGAGTTGGATGTTTTTTTGTTTGTTTTTTGTTTTTTAAGGTGCCCTGGTGGTGCAGTGGTTAAGCTCTCTGCTGCTAATGAAAAGGTTCAAACCCACCGAGGAGCTTTTCTGGAGAAAAACCTGACTCTCTGTTTCCGTAAAGATACAACCAAGGAAGCTTTATGGATTAGCTCTCCTCTGTCATACAGGGTCACTTTGAGTCAGAATATATTTGACACACACACACACACACACACAATGACAACACAACGTGATTATTTTAAAGCAGTAGCCCTTGGCCTCTCCTGTTTGGTCTCTGAAGTGGAGGTGTCCAAAGGAATCAAATTTCTTGACCAACATGTACCTAGGAGCTCTGGTAGCATAGTGCCTAAGGCACTTGACTGCTAACCAGAAGGCTGGAAGTTCAAACCCACCAGCCACTCCTCGGAAGGAAGATTGGGAAATCTACTTCCGTAGTGACACCTTCAGAAACCCAAGGAGGGATTGCTATGAGTCGGTTCTGACTCAACGGCACATAACAACAACAAGATGTACCTAGGGGTGCATCTGAGTTCTTAAGGAATGTGTTTCTGGGGTCAACCCTGGCATCCATTCTCTATCAGGGAACATAATATCCAGAAAGCGAGTGGTGGGGTTTGGGGCACGTTCTTTTGGGAGGAGAAAGGAGTCATTTGGAATAGAGGATGTAAGAAAACTTACCTGGGTAGGCTTGAAATTATGGACCCATTTCTTTGCCTCAACCAGGTCCAACAATCCAGGTTCTAGAAGAGAGAAAGAGAAGGAGGACAACAGGGGGAGGAGAAGGATAGGGTGGAGGGAGAGATGCTTAGAATGCCTTCAGCCTATTCTTCACGTCATGGTCACTGGTTGATGGAGTGAAGTCCCTCCACCTCATCCCATCCTGTTGTCATCGATGGCAGGGTGTCCTGAGAAGAGGACCCTGCCCTAAGCATCTATGTAACACCTGTTGGTGGGCAAGGAACAGTAGGCCAGGCAGAGAGGTGGTAGAATAAGAACTCAAGGGGCTGTAGGATAGGCACCTGGGGTTGATGGGGTTAATATTTGGGGGAGATCATGAGCTGCCCCCTCTGGTTCCCAGAAATGATAGTTTCTAGTTCCTTTCACCCTCTGTTCCTTAGGAAGGTCCCTGCAGCCTTGGGATCCCCCTGCCCTGTGCCTAGGGCAGGGTCCAACCATCTGCCATAACTATCCAGGGGCATTTTTTCTTTTGTGATTTGGGTGAAAGTTCACAGAGCAAATTCACTTTCCATGCAGCAGTTCATACACACATTGTCTCATGTCATTGACTACAATTTACCCCATTGCAACAGCTCCCCTCTCACTTCCTCCCCATAGTTACCTCTTCCCTCTGTCCATCCCTGCATGCATTCCTGCCCCCTGAGCTATCTCCCTGTGCATAAGCAGCCCTTCTTTCTCCCATGATTGTTCTCTCCAAGGAGTGTATCTACTTCAGGTACATGTTCAACTCATATGCCTGTCTTTTGTTTGGCTGGAAGCCACAGATGTGGGTTCAATTCCAGACCTGAAGGGCAACTAGGGACCATAGTCTCATTGGTTCCATCAGGCTCTATCAAACCAACAAACCTGGTCCTCCCCCCTTATTTTTCCCCCAAATGATTTTGAGTTTTTTCCACATTTTTCTCCCTCTCTATCCAGGATCTCCTACATAGATCCCCCTCCAAGTGGTTGATAGTGTTAGCCGGGCACCATCTAGTTCTTCTGGTCTCATAGTCGTATAGGCTGAGGATTGCATGGTACCAGTCGCAAGGACTAATTCTTTCCATGAATATTTGGTTTTCTTCATTCTTCTTTGCTCTGGACAAGGAAAGACCCATCGTTACATGTAGATGGCTGCTTGCAAGCTTTTAAGATCCCAGTCGCTACTCGCCAAAGTAGGAGGTGGAACAATGTTTTGTACAGTATGTTGTGCCAATTGAGCTTGATGTCCTCCTGGGGCACTCTTGACTGAACAAAGCTGCCTGGTATAGGGGCGTGTCTGAGCACTAGCACAGAGCCGCTGTGGAAGCCCAGCCAACATGCCACTAAAGGCAGATGACATTGTGGGATGGACACGTTTGGGCCCTTGCTTCGAATAGGCTATCTCTTAGGCTAATTTATAGTACATCCCCAAGCAGTTATTTTTACCTTCTTTTGTAAAATTGGGGCTGAAGATTAAAAAGCCTTCAGCTGTTTGCCACAATGGTTAAAAACATGAGCTCTGGCTATGTCAGCCTGGATTCAAATCTCGATTCTGACACTGTGACCTTAATTAAGCTACTTAACCTGTCTGTGTCTGTTTCCTCAACTAGAAAGGAAGCATGATAACCCTTACCACATACATTTATGAGGATTAAATGAGTTAACCCATGATTAGTAATTGACATTGTCTGTTATTGAAAAGAGTCCCTAGGTGGTAAAAATTGTTAAAGCACTTGGCTGCTAACTGAAAGATTTGTAGTTTGAATCCACCCAGAGGTCCCTTGGAA